GGGTGCCCCCAGCCATATTGAGCTCCCCCTAATGCCAGCACCCCCTCTTCCCTCTGTGGGGAGCCGGCCTTTTATTTTCAGTAAGTTCCCCCCCACCCCTCCCACCCCCCCGCCAGATCTCATGGACATTGCCCACTAGTGCAGGCAATGCCAGATTTTGTGATTTCCTTTAAACTGTGATTTTAGTAGGTCCCTATCTATACTGTATCACACTGTTCAGCGCAGATTTACGAGAGAAATGAGACCTTGTATGACACTTTGTAGCCATTTGCACCACCTGGAATTGAAGACATATTACATCTAGTTTGCGCTGGTACAATGAGCTACTCAGGGGGTGCATCTACACATGTGCTTAACTGCTCAGTAGACTAATATGCTGCAGTGCAAAGCATCATAGACTACATATGCAGTGTTATTAGACTGCAGCAAATTGATTTTTGCTGCTGTAAGATGGTACTGTCAGGGTAGTACTATCTTACGGCAGTGAAAATAACTGCACCTAAATGTACATGTAAATGCTGACCCAGGCGTACAGTGCACTCAGCCCAGGTAACAGGGGACCAGACCCCTGCCTACCACCCTGCCACAGAGCTCCACACTCTGGGGCATTCTTGTGCTCTAGCCAGCCCCTCCATTGCCTAATGCCACCTCCTGAAGCCCAGGGCTTACCCCCTAGGCCCCCTGCCAGCCCAGGGCTGCTTCGCCCTGGCTCAAACTGCTGCAGTCCCGGGTGCAGCATCTGCATATATGCCCTGGACTGCAGCAGTTTGAGCATCTACACATGCTGTTAAGGCACTGTGGTAAACTCTGGAACAAATTGCACTAGAGTTTATCACAGTTTTAATGGCATCTATAGATGCACCCAAGGTGTATGACAGTAGAATCAGGCCCTTGGTCCTTACCAAGCAGTCGGCACTCCAGAGTGCTAATTGTGGTAGATAACAGAAACCAAACTTAATGAAAACTATAGTATCTTGAAATGGGCCCAGAAACTGTAATCTTTATGCAGAGATCTGGCATTTTTATGCAGATATTTTTGCCAGCAATTGTTGTTTGCCTCTGCTATGTTGGCAGTGAGAGGAGGGGCTGAATGGCTAGGGAGTAGAAAGGGTATACAAAGGCAATTCTGCCTTTTCTGCCTTCCTAGTAGAACCTTGTTTTGAATATAGCAGTGGTTAAGGCATAATTTCCCAAACTTTTTAGATTAACTCCACATCTCAGTAAACCTGGCCACTCGCCTGCCACTGCTTCTCATTGCTGTGGATTGTTGTTCCCACCCCTCTCCTATTTGCTACTGACTCACTTCTGCTTCCCCTGTTGCCAGTTCCTCATGCCACTATTGTCCCAGCTTTGCATCCTCTCCAGGAACATTTTGTATCTCTCAAAGGGCCATGCCCCCACAGTTTGGGAAACACTGGGCTAAGATGATGAAAAGTCCTTCCACTCTGAGGGCTTGTTGTTGTACATTAGAAAAGGAGGCTTAAGTCTTGAACCAGGACTCCCTAGATCAGCATTTCTCAACCCATGGGTCACAACCCAAAAGTGGGTTGCAAGAATATATGAAGGGGTCACAAACAAACTTTAAAAATGGATCAATAAACTTTTAAAGAGAAAAATTTGGGAAACTGTGGCTTTTCCTTTGTAAGGGCTGCTTGGGGCCCCCCATACCCCACATATTCCCAGTGTGTAGGTCTGGGGCCTGGGGGTGGGGGGCAGCAGGTCGGGAATGAGGGGCACTGGGTCGGGATTGGCCATTGATGTATACAATCCCCCCCCCCCCTCTCCCCCTTTGTGGTACTCTCAGCAGGGAAATCAAGGCTGGCATAGGGCCCAAAGACTGATTGGCTCCCTCACCTTAGATCTGGGTCCTCCGCATCAGGTTGGAAGACTGTTGGCAGGAAGAGCAGACAAAGCATGCACAGCTGGTCTTTGCGTGACATCTGTTATATGGGTAAATAGACTTGGATGGCAGGCCAGGACTTTTCACCTGCATCAGCTTGACAACAACAAAGCTATCATTAAACAGTTGTGCTGAGGATGAGCCTTTGGCTTCACCTGCCTGTGCAGCTGAGGAGCCTTGTGGAGGGGTGGGACTGGGATTGGGAATCCATGAAAGACAGGTACTTGATCCACTGGCACCTCCTGCTGGCTGATTTGCAAATGACACGAGCCTGAGGGAGACTGTAATAACTTTTGGCAGCTTCCCAGAAACAGCCTACAGCAGTCTGAGTACTGAGCTGGCTGCAAGAAACACCTGACCACCAATAAAAAGACAAGGCCCATTAAGAGTTAATGCTGCAGTTATAAATGAGCCACATGCTTTCAGGGGTTTTAGAAAGCTGATGGTGGGCGTGAAATACTATAGCTTTCCCATTAACTCAAAATATCTGCTCCGAGTCCAGAAAGAAGTGCCCAGATTTTTAGTCGATATTAATTTTACACTTGGCACTTCAGGAAAGTGTGAGCTGCTGGGTTCACAAAGGTTCTGTCTAATAAACAGACAATAGAAAATCAGAAAAGCAAAGCTTGAGTTCACTTACATAGGTGCCAAGAATGTAACAGCAGCTGAGATTGTGGAGGGCAATGGAAAATTCAGAATGATAATGGGGAATAACATTAAGTCTGTATGCCTCCGATTTGTGAGAGATCGGAGGGGCAGCAGAACCTGGGTTGGTGACAGGATGGCACAACATGCAGGAAAATTTTGATCAGAATGAGGGACAGAGGAAAAGGAGCAGCAGGTGTTGGGGACAGAGTCCAGAGCATGAGAGCTAGTGTGCTCCATGCAGATTCATTTTACACCTTAATCCCCTCCAGAACAAGGTTTTGAATTCACAATAGCCTCTCCTGTCTGGATCACTGCCTCCTGTCAGGACTGCTCTATCTCCTGTGTTCTCAAGCACTGTCCTGTTTTTGTCACCTTCCTAGCTGTATTAGGTATTACGCAAGCCAGCCTTGCTTCCTGCTAGTTGTAGGAGGAAATTCCTACCTTTTAAAAGCTCACTGCTCTTAGCAAAGCAAATATTTTAATAGGCACGAGCAAACCTCCATCCAGAGAACCAGATACGAATGGTTTTTATACATCCAGAGGAATTTCTCCTGGAGTTCTGGGTAATTGCAGTGGAGAATCATGCCAGCCAACATATTTGCCTGCTTGTCCCACTTTAGAGCAGTCAAAGGACTCTGAAGGAAACTACCATGCTTTACTAGGTCTTGTTGCCAGCATTGGGCTTTCCAATAATAGAATCAATTAATTTCAATGATATTCTATTGTAACAAATCTCCAGTCATATAGGAACATTACAGATGAGGTCAGTGTGAAGCAAAAAGTGATAGTCACATCCACCCACTCCGATAACAAACTGCTAGATCAGGCACTAGTGTCCTAACACAGTTCATCTCTTTAAAAGACAAATTTGCTGATGCATTTGCAGGCAGCCTTCCACTCCCCGTTCCCATTCTTATTAAGGGGTGTTTCTAGAATCTAAAGTTGGCTTGATGAAGTTCAGTGCATAAGAAATGTCTCTTGTATTGCTGTTTGGTTTCTCAAAGGTAATTTCTCTCTTGTGCAGTGAAAGTTGACTCTCCTGAGATACTCTTTTCCAGGTGTGTTCTTTGAAAGGAAGGAGTCAAAGTAGTCTCTGGTCTAAATCCTGAATTGCCAGTGGAATCACACTAGGGGTAAGTCTGTCTTTGCCTCTGAATTTCTGGGAAGTGCAGGCCTGGAGAGTGTCCTTACACAGGAGGGGCATCCTCACTGTTATTTATTCTGTGTGTACATTATTATCTCTTGGATGTCTGTAGCTTTCTGAGTCCTTTAGCACTTGCAAGTTGCAGCTAGCCTGACCCTGGCAGAACTGGTGACCAAAATAGAGTGATTCCAAGCAGAAATAACAGTACCTTTGCTTCTTTCTTCCTTCCTTTTTGCTTTAAAGATGTTGCCTGCTCTATTTCTGACTCCCAATCTTTGACCACCTACCACTATTCTAGAACACACATCTACACCATTGACCCCACCCTAGAGAGTCTCTGTTTTCAAAGCACAAAGGCTTTATTGTGCTTTGGTGTGAGCGGTGGTTAGATTTAGGAATAAAAGGAGTGGTCAGGGGGAGGAATTGGTCTTTTTAGGACTGTTTTACAGGCAGAGTTTCTCTGTGTACTCCACTTGCAGGGATTCAGCTGTTACCATCATCAGTACTTAGCTACACATCAGTCACTACTAATTCTTACTCAGAAACCCAGAACAAATAGTTTAGCAGATAAGGAGCCTTAGGGCAGCTTTGTCACTGCCTGTAACAGAAGTCCATTCCAGATTCGCACACAGGCCTATTCAGGCCAGGGGTTTGCAGGGCTCTTCACACACAGTATAGTGTATACTTACCAATATACTGTAATTGATATATGTGTTATTACAAACATTTGTATGACATCCAATGCTGTGTAATATGACAGCACCTCTCAATATAAGGCGCCCTTTTCAGACATTCAGGCTCTCGGAGACCAACACTAGGTTCTCCTTCAGCTTTACCAACCAGTAAGGAAACTAGGACTTTAGTTATCAGAGAAGGCCTGTGCAAAGAGGTTTCTGGGCTAGGGTCTATCTGCCGTGTCCCCCCATCCCCCCTTTCCCACACACACACACACACTTCATCATCATACTCCCTACCCCTCCTTCTCTTCACATCCACTAGTTCCATTCATACTATGTTCTCTGGACTGTGGTATGACAGCGATGCTAATGGTGTGAGAGCGGCTGGTTCACCACTGCCTATTTACCTACAATTCTTTGGAGGAGCCCCAGAGAGTGTACAGTTTGTTAGGGTTTAGTGTGGCACTACAGGTCATGCTGTCAGAATAAACCAATTGCAACAGGTTCCTAGATCACAGTTAGCAGTTATGGAGAGTAATGAGGGCAGTGGTGATAAAAGCAACAGCACCAGATGTCTGTCTGGGGGGGCGGACCTTAAAATGGCAAAGCCAAGAAAGAAGGGATGGGCAGACAGAGATCTGAGGCCAGGCTCAGAAAGATAAAGGAGAGGAACTGGGAGCAGAGGCCGCTAGTGATTTTTATGTGACTATTCCTGGTGTGCAGATTCTGAATGCTTTGAATAAAACAATACTTACGTTGTTAATGCACATGCTGGGATTTGACTAGCCACATCTGTTCCAGGATGCAACAGTTTCCATCACAGGAGGTTTTAAGGGACTAACTTGACTTGGTCACATTTATGCTGCAGGTGTTATCTTGACAATACCTGGTAAACGACAAACTCATCTTTGGGAAATGTGATGGGAGGCTGCCACCATGTGGAGGAAGGGAGAACCTTACTCGTGGTTTTACTCTGTGGGAGGCAGAGGTAGTTAGCTCTGGTCTAAAGTCAGTCAATAGGCAGGGTATATACGCACCTTTGTAAACTAACTAAATAAGATAGATATATTTACTCCATATATATTTTATATTTCTAGGTGATATCTTATTGGACAAACTGTATACTTAGGAGAGAAATAGAAAGCTTTGGGGTACCAAGTACTCTTCCTCAGGTCTTCATGGGTCACTTTTCAAGCAATCTGCTCAAAGCCAAAGGAATGGGGATAAATTTTCTTAACTCACTGCTCCCTTTTGCTGTTCTTCTCCCTCTCCATTGCTCTCTCAGTGTCTTTTGACTAAACCCAGAAGTTGCTGAAATCAGAATTTGGTTTCCTGATAACAAGGGAAAACTGAAATCAAAAAGTTGCCAAACATTTACATTGCATTGCTCAGAGAATTACAGAAAAGTAGGGCTTAGGAGTCTAGTCCAACCCCCGGTGAAGCCAGGATCATCCTTATGTAAATATCCTATACAAGTTCTTGTCTAACCTATTCTTAAAACTACACATGCAATTCTGTTCCTAATCTCAGGCAGTCACCATGCAAGGACGTGTGCCCCGACGTCCCGCTGACATTCACTGGCCCCTCGGGGTGGCTGCGCCCCTACAGTCGAGCTGGGTGAGATCTGGCACCCTTGCTATTCCCGCCTGCCATGACTTAGATGATATAGGAATTTCATAAAAGGGAGGCAGTGACTGCCCGTCTCTTACCCAGATCAATCACCAGGGCCTCCCAGCACCTGAAATCCAAACTGGGAAGTGAAGAAAGGACTAGCCTGGAGCCAGCTTTCCAATTCCGCTTTTTAATTTTTTTTTTTATTTTTTATCTCTCTCTTTTTTTTCTTTTTCTTTTTTTGAGATTCTTTGACCTTTGCCCTTTTCCTTTCCTGGGGCATCTTCAAGGTCTGGGGCTCTGTGCCTGGGGCTGTTACCCCAGGATCTTCAGTAGTCCACTTTCTCGCCCCAGTCTCTTCCCCGGGACTTTAAAGCTGAACC